GCCTCAGTGAGGGCTTATGAGCTTGAAGTTGCCTGATCGAGGTCTTACGAATTCGAGTCTTCAATGGCTCGATGAGCTGACTATTTGATGACAGTCCCCGGGTATTCGAGAGTTTTTGGCTTTTGGGCCGTTTTTCGTGACAGTAGCGAATTTCTTCGAGGCACAAAGTGTTGATAATCAAAGAGGCTTCCGTAATTACTTGATACATGCGTACGCGTTTTTTGCTTTTAGAGGCTCGATTATTCTACATGGACACGGTTCATTTGACCGTTTGGCCCAATACAACATTCTCCTATCGAGGTCCTTCTAGGCATAGTTTGATTTCTTTCGAGAGGTGACCTCCTGGGGTGATGCCCCCCCAGTATTTGAGGTTGATTGAAGAGAAACCTTGAATACTTGATAAGTTCTCCTTAGGTAGCATATAGATGTTGCCTCGTTAAAAACCTCGCCGGTAAAACCCGTTCGGGTAAAAAACCCGTTCGGGATAAAACCTAACCTAAGGGAAAAAGAGCGCGACACATGCTTTAAAACCCAAGGTCTTCGGGTTGGAGGGTGCTTCGATTCTTTCTAATTGAATACCTGCGATAAGTTAGTATAAAGGGCAAATGAAAAAAGGAGAGGGTCGTACCTTAGCAATGATAGCGTTTGAGCCTCGATGCGATTCAATTGCCCGCTACGAGGACGTAGCACGGTCCTTTATTCACTCATTGGGGTGTAGCCGAGAATGTTGGTTGCGGTTGCTACTTGGCTGTTTGTTTGTCTAAATGCTCCTTCGCGGTGGAGGGCCCCGATACTGGTTCCATATCGTACACCGCAAACATCTCCTTTGCTACACGTTGCTCCCCGTACACTGCTTTTATTCCGTCCTTGGCTGGAAATTTCATCACTTGATGAAGGGTTGACGGCACTGCCCTTATACTGTGTATCCATGGCCTTCCAACTAAGGTGTTGTATCACATGTCACCTTCGATGACATAAAATTTGGTATCTTGGATTATACCGACCACGTTGACCGGGAGGATGATCTCCCCTTTCGTCGTCTCGCTCGCCATGTTGAATCCATTGAGGACTCGGCAGGCGGGTATGATCTGGTCGAGCAGTCCTAGCTGCTCTACCACCCTCGACCTGATTATGTTGGCCGAGCTACCTGGATCCACGAGCATACGTTTGATTTGAAATTTATTCAAAAGAAAAGAAATTACCAGTGCGTCGTTATGCGGCTGAGACAAGGCCTCGATGTCCTCTTCGCTGAATGTAAGAGCATATTCCGGTACGTAACTCCGAGTTTGCTTTTCTCTGGTGATGGATATTTCCGTTCGTCTGACAAGGGGTCCCTATGGGGCATCGTCCCCTCCTATGATCATGTGGATGACGTGCCGTGGTTCTTCTAGTTCGCTCTTCCTCTTCGCCTCCCTCTCCTAAAAATGGTTTTTAGCTCGGTCGCTGAGGAATTCTTGAAGATGTCCTTCGCTGATTACTCTGGCTACCTCTTCTCGATGTTGTATGCAATCCTCGGTCTTATGACCGTAAGTGCCGTGATATTTGCATATCAAGTTAGGGTTCCTTTGTGAAAGGTCTGACAGTATGGGTTTTGACCACCTGGTATCTTTGATTCTACCTATGGCTGACACGATGCCTAAGACGTCGACGCTGAAATTGTACTCGGATAGTCGGGTTGCCTCTTCCGGCCTAGTATGCCTATCGAACCCGGCTTTGCTCACAAGTCCCCGAGAAACTTGACATCAATCTGACCTTCGATCGCCCCGAGGCACATTACGCTTTTGGACATTCCTTCGATCCTCTACATAAGGGCGGTATCTTTCCTTGTTCGGTCTTGACTCCCTTTCCGTAAACCTTTGTTCCTTCGTTAGGAGCCTGCTAGGATATACTGAGCCCGAAAGGGCTCCCAATTGGTTGTCTTCGACCCTGATCTTCGATTGGTACCTGTTGTGCACATCCGTCCAAGTCACGGCAGGATATTCGATCAAATTTTGTTTTAGCTGCTTCAAAGCTACCAAACTTCATTCGTTCAAGCCTTGAGTGAAGGCCTGCACTGCCCAGTCATCGGAGACTGGTGGTAATTCCATTTCGCTCCATCTAAAAGTGAGATACGAATTCCCTTAGCATCTCGTTTTCCCTTTGTTTGATTTTGAAGACATCAGACTTCCTGGTGGCGACCTTGATGGCACCGGCGTGTGCCCTCAAAAAAGAGTCTGCCAATATGGCAAATGAATCTATCGAGTTCGGGGGTAGGTTGTGGTACCACATCATGTCCCCTTTCGACAGTGTGTCTCCAAATTTCTTCAGCAGGACGGATTCAATCTCGTCATCCTTTAAGTCATTCCCCTTTATAGCACAAGTATAAGCGGTAACGTGCTCATTAGGGTCCGTGGTCCCGTTATACTTCGGGACATCGGGCTTTCTGAATTTCTTCGGGATGGGATTCGGAGCCGCACTTGGTGGGAATGGTTTCTGTATGAACTTCTTTGAATCTACGCCTTTCAGGATCGGAGGTGCGCCCGGGATCTGATCGACCCTTGAGTTATAAGTCTTGACCTTTTTATCGTTATCTTCTATCTTCTTTTCTCCTGATTTAATCCTTTTGGCGAGGTCCTCAAGTATCTTCATAATAGCGGGGTCTGTCGCTGACCCGTTGTTACTCGATCTCTCCGGTGCCTGCTCGACTCGAGGAGCCGTTTCCGTTGCTGTTGTGCTTGGAGTTTTTTGGTGACTTTGTAGCTGAGCAATGACCACTTGTTGTGCTAGTAACATTTCTAAAATGATTTGAAGGCTAATTTCTCTTTCCTCCCCGCGCACACTCTCGTTGGCATGAGAGCTCACATCGACATGCACAGCGTTGCGTGAGTTTACGTCGACGGGGATTTGTACCGGTGCTACCCTTGGGTTTTGTGGTGCTACCCCTGGGTTTTGCAGTGGTACACCAGCATCTACACCGTTCTCTCCATGAAGCTCAATTCCGTTGTTTTTTTACCTGAAATCAGAGATTCTTGGACAAGAAAAAGTGTGAAGAATAACTTGTGTTTTCAGAAAACTAGCACCAAAACAATCACTATATTTTTAGCCCCACGGTGGGCGCCAAACTGTTTACCTTGAAAATGGAAACTACAATTATATTTGATTTTGTGATTCTAAAAATACGTAATTTATTTTAATACTAGTTGTTAAGCAATAGATGTTGGGTATAAGTTAGAAGAATAAGATATGTAAACCAATGGGGTCACAAAGCTGGGCCTCGAGCTGGCTGAAGCGGGATCTCGAGGTCTAGACGGAGCTAATAACGATTAACTGTTGATGAAGAATCAATGGCAGTGAGGGCCTTAAAGATGGCCTTTTACGCTTAATAATGAGCAATAAATGGGGAACAATAAATGAACAATGTAAGAATAAGCAATAAATGTGAAGAACAGTTGTTTTAGCAAAGAGAGCAGAGAATGTTGTATGTTATTCAATATCCAGGTCCCTTACAAAATGACAAAGGTCTCCTTTATATAGGAGGGGTGAATCCCAACATAGTACATGTCTAACAAATGACGAATAACTACTGCTAGTACAGCTGTATAACGGCTCAATACGGATTTGTACTATTCTTGCAGACTCTGTCAATCCTTATCGTGTGCCCTCGGGGGTTTCCCGCCTTCCATGTCGATCACCGACTCATGTCGCTCTGAGATCGACCTTTGATGTGTCCCCTCGAGTAGGGGTGTTCATGGTTCGGTTTGGATCGGTTTTTCCCGAAAAAGAAACCAAACCAAGTAAGTCGGTTTTTCAAATATTAGAACCAAACCAAACCAATTAAGTCGGTTTTTTCTCGATTCGGTTTATGTCGGATTTTGTCGGTTTTTCGGTTTTTTCGGTTATTTGTCGGGTTTTTTCTTAAATATACGACATACACTACCAAACACATATTTCGGCGACCACATTTTTAACGTAACACTATCAAATAAATTGCCCTTTTAGAAATCTATTATTTATCAAGATATATTGATAATAATTGAATTAAATAGTGATGAATAATTTAAGGACTCAATTAAAAATATATTATTTTTAACATGAAATGGATTCTTACACTTAACAAAAGAAAACTACCAATCAAATTAGAATGTAAAGGTAAAGAACTATACTAAAAGTGCAAACTATTAACATTTACCATAAAATTTTTGAAACTTTGTATAAAAATATACATATATATAGGTGTAATAATGAATTTGAAATACTTACTCCTATAGTCGGTTTGGTTCGGTTTTTTTTGGTTTTTTTCTGATTAAACCATAACCAAACCAATTTGATCGATTTTTAAAATTCAAAACCAAAACCAAACCAAACCAAAAAGTATCGGTTTTTTTTGGTCGGTTTGGTTTGGTTTTCGGTTTGGTTTGGTTTTTCGGGTTTTTATGAACACCCCTACCCTCGAGGGAAGCACCCCGGGGTCTCGCCTTCAAACTCCACTTTGAGCTCCTCGAGGTCGGGCGTTGGAGTGCCACAGTAGCCCTAAAGTCGAACTCTCCGATTTTGGCCGTATACACAAGCTACAAGAACGAAAGAATTAAAGAGATAGGAAATTAACAAAAAGGGAAATTAGATTTACATTGACTCCAATGGAATAATTATACCAGCGTCCTACCAGCTGTAATATTGTACCAGACCAATAATAATTAAACACTTACTACTTTAACCTTAACAAAATTTTGACTTTATTGAGGTTGATTAATATTTAAACAGTGCCCGACTCATCGAACTAAGAGGAAAGTGAGCTATAGTAATTCGGGAGGGCTCTTGCCACATTCATTTCCCTTCAATCCTACTTGGATTCTTATATAAATGGAAAGAATAAGGTCGTACCAATACATTTCTTTGCTGCATATACTAGTCAATCGAATTGGTTGAGCTCTTCGTTTGACGCCAATTATAGGGTGATATTACTAGCACTTAAGTTGTAAATTGCAATTGATATGAAGCCTGTAAAAATAAGGTTATGAGTGAAATCATCGCAGATTCAAACGGACTAGCAACATTTTAATTCTCTTTCTTTTCTTAATCAAGCAGTATTATAATACATATGATGAATTTAGAAGCTTTAACTTTCAGCTTGGATATAGAATCACAATCCCCTATAAACAACAATGTGATCCGAGGCAACGTTACTACCAAAATGCAAAATTCACCTACAGGCAAAGGTTGCAGGATTCAGTTCCTAATAAATTAGCTTAAGCTCCATTAGCTGGTGGTTCCTTTCGCCCGATTCCTAACATCTGTAATCCTACACTGGAACCCTCAGTTGAACTTCCTTGATTGGAGCCCTCCGTAGCCGCCTTCAATCCCTTTTTCCTCTTCACTTTCTCTGCCCAGCCAAGAAGACCAACTTGAATATGCTCATCAAATATTGATTTCTTAAAATGGGTACCCATCTGTAGTTCAATATGCCAAAGACAGATAGATTTAACTTTAAGTTATATCAAGACTCCTAACCAAGCTACTTCAGGAACCCTGTTTAAAACTAACCTGTGTAACAAGAGCGTAAAGAGGCAACGTGCTATAGCTGCATAATACCTGAATGATTACCCTGGATAAAACAATGAAATCATAGATATAAAGGCCGTGATGAAAGCAAAATAGGATAGTAAAAGTAAAGATGCTATTCAACAAGCTAAGGCAATGCATATACATTTGCTATATTTTCCACTTGCCGAAACAGAGGACCAATACAGAGGAGAAAGGATAAAGGCGTAGAGCTAATACAGAAGTGGGCAGTGAACTTTACCCTATAACAAGCCGAGGAACAATGAAACCAACTTGTCCCATTATGCAGGAATCAAAGCCATATTGCACCTATAAAGCGATAAGGGGAAAAAGAAAACTAAGATTAGAAATAGAGAACTAAGCGAAAGGCAACCATGGTATAACAAACTATATCTTACCAATATCCAGAAAAAGAATGCTATCTCGAAAGCATTTTGGAAGAGGATAAAGTGTATCAAGAAGAGGACAATTTGAGGGCGGTTGAACCAGAAGTGTTCATCAGAAGGTGTTACCACCAATTCACCTTCTATGGCAACATGCTTCTCTGCTACCTCATGAGCTAACTGTATAATTACATGCTCCAACTTTGTGCCAACAGCAAGCAGAAGCTGATAAACCCAAAATTGAAATTAAGTGACAGAAGAAATCAAGTCAGGTTGTTGCTAAATGGAGCTTGGTGTTGAAAAAATTGAGAACATCATATAATACTCAAAGCCAATAACAGGAAAAAAATCATAAAGAGAAGTAATTGAATGCATGAGAAGAAAACATCCATGTTTAACATTCATCATAACTCCTTAGAAGGCTTGATGCAGCTAGCACAAGATCATGCTTTCAGATATAATTTTATCAAAGAGCTTTCGCCTTTCGCTGCTATAAGAACGTAGAAAAAATATACATAAAATCATAGTGCAAAAGGTGCCACAGAGCACATCTAATCTTCTTGGAAAAATATGCTTTATGTAGCAAAAGATGCTACTTTGAAGATAAACCCATAAAATTCAGCACGTCAATCTGACTGCCAGATAGCAGTCATTAATTTTTTGCTGATATATTAAATTATTCTATTCAGTTTTAAAGTGGAGGAGAAAAAACATAGCTTGATATATGAAATTACTATATGCATCAGGTAGTTTCAGTAAACACTAAATGATAGCAGTTCTGCTCAAAGTAGTAACTGTTTTATATGAATGGCTTTCTAATAAATTAAATTCAAGCTAGCTACAGGCAAGCATTTGAAACCACAAGAAAAGATTATGATAAGGCAACTCACAATAAAAGGAAAGAACGCAATCCAGAAATACGTGTGCCAACCTGGAGAACATATAAAATGAATTTATCAGCTTTCAGATCTAAACAACAAACAAATGACCAGAATGAAACACAAAAAAAGAACTTGTAAAATCATCTTAAAGCCAAAACGGAAGTTATTCAAGCAACACGTTCTATTTTAAATGCAATATCTTGAATGAATCATCTCAAGAATGCTGAAAACTGCAAACGTTATACAAAAAAGGGAAACTACAAATAGTTAAATGAAACCAAATAAATTCTAACACGATGCTTTAATTTCATTAAAAGTCGCGGAAGCATAATGAAATGTTATAAAATTATAACTGTACATGTACAAACTGAATGGAAACATAGATAAATCATTACCATTTGCCTCAGAGAAAAATAGCAAAAGGTCATGTTCATAGGGTACAAGGCAACAATATTCAGAAATTTTTTTTCTTTTTTTTTGACAAGTCAAAGATAGATTCACAATTTTCTCATCCTCAAGGAGGGAGTAAACTGCAAGCATTTTGGCTTATTGTCGGGTAGGAGTGCCCAATAACACATGGTAACAAATGCTCGGATATTCCAACATCTTACGTAATCATAATAAGCATAATATAACACCAGCTATGTAACCAGTATGGGGTTTATAACTCGAAGCATGAAAATGTCATATGACATTGAGACATTTTAAAGCAAAGCAGCTGCAAGGTAATAATGTCTACTCCAAGTTTGAGTTGGCATACCATTAACATTCAGAAACAAGAAGATGACAACAAATACCCAGAGATACCAACTGCAACAAATACAGGAAAATTGTAAGAGTGAGAAAGAACATCTGTAAATTCTTGCCAGTGGGGTGCTGCAAGGGCAAGAAGGAAAGCTTCCACTAAATAACAAAACAAACCGAACGAGAAGATTTACTTCCATTCAACCCAATTACAAGAAGAAAACAGATTTATTCATCCTAAATCTCCGTAGTATCACTTGCCTGATGCCGACAACAGTCTTAAAATCGTCTTCCAGAGCCCGAATCATGTACTTGTGAAAATTAAATTTTTTATTTTGCTTGCAGTGTGTCTGCCAAAGAGAAGCGAGGTTCACTATTATATGGCCTGATTAAGCACCAAAAAGAAGGCAAAACACCAAATGATTATATCATATAGGAACACAATGACGTTACCATAATGAACCCCAAACGCAGGGCAGCATAATCCGACTTGCTGACAGAACCATAAAATTGCTTAAAGAAAGAGTGCTGCAAGTTTTAATCAATAAGCAAACAAAAGTATTAGATGCTTACGTCAAAAGCAAAAGACACCTGACAACCATGTGGTAAGGCTCTATTACAGATTTCCCTATTTCTTCACCTTTTTTCTTACTAATAAATTAAACGGATGATTATCCAGCGTGGTTTTGAAAATATTTTAAGTGCTCAGCTTATATAAGAACCACTACTTGCTTATTAAGAATTCTCAGGTAACAGGGCCCTAACAACACACAGCATAAAACTTGCTTATTATATAAATTCTTTCAACGCCCTGAACAAAAGAACCCATATCTTAGCTAATCAAGATATAATATCTGACTTATTGGAGGCACGATCCAGCACTCGATAAGAAAAAGAAAGATAAAAGAAGGTGGTCATCACGTATTCATTTGTCTTTTGAGAGCATATGCACATTCCCCGTCTTCAATAGCTTAAATTTAATATTATTTCTTTTTTCTTTGCATAAAGATGTTTGAAGAGCTGTTTCCAAGGTAAGATTTGCTATATAGAGGAGAAACATGTGATAGGGCAAGAATAACTGCTTAGTGAGGAAGAAAAATTCTTACCAACCAACCAGAAATGGCTGAACGTTTGCCCAAACCAGCAAATCGGTCCCTGATGAAATCGTGTTGATGGACATGTGTGACCGGTGGTTTTAGAACTGCAAAAGAACGCATCAAATTGGTTTAATTTGAAGATCAACTTGATCTGGATATGATGTATTAAAGGAGTAACTCTGTATTTTAGTTATCTTTCCTTTCATGGCTTGCAATATGTCAACAGTCGTCACATAAAGTCTTGGTTCAGAAAGTAAACAGAAGTACATAACAAAATTAGCTACAGGACCGCGTGAGCTTTTCTGATCAGTCAATTACTTTCTTTCTTCTTTGCTTATCATCATTTAAAACAGCGCAATCAACTCCCAATTATTCTAGTATTAAATTAAATTCACATAAAGGAAACCAATGAGGATTTTTTACTATATGCACCAAACAGCTTCCATACCACGCCCAGTCTCATAATTATCTTTTGCAATGCTGTCCTCCCAGTGCTTCCACTGACGTATCTACAACATCATTTGACAAATTACAAACATTCAAATCCAACAATAAACAAAGTTGAAAGAGAGACCAGAAACAAGTAGATGCTGCAGAAGCTTTTAGTACAGACCTTTGCTCCTCCAAATACAACTGTCAGAAGAGAGAAAGTCACATGAACAATCGCAAGGACAAAGATAAAAATGTGAAGGTGATGCAACGCTTCAAGAGATAGTAGTGGGACCTTGTGCTGAAAAAAAAAACCAAGAATTATGTAGTTTAATGGAGCAATCGAGCTGTACTCTAACAGAAACAGATCATTATATATACTCCAGAATCAGATATTAGAAATGGGATTCAACTTTAGTGTCAGGATATTTAAGAAAATAATTCAAGTAAATGTATGTCTGCACAATATTTTTCACATTGCCTCTTACTAAAGATCAAGGACAAGTAATCCCTAAATTTTGGCTTTTCCCTTTTTCTTCGTATGTAAATAAAAAGAACTAAAACAATGGGTCATTGTAGCAAAGATAATAAATTTCAAAACCATAAAACGACAATGCAATAATCGTCATCTTTTTCTTTTTCCAAATACAAGCACTACCCAACCTTCCTTTTATGAAGGCACACATCATATGGATGAAACTAGAACTACTGAGCTTCTCAGCATGAAAAACTTCTGTCTATATTAGTATATACTTTATATTGCCAATTTAAGTTAATAGGACCATTCAATGCACAATCACAACCTCATGTATAGTTGCCACAAAAGAAGCCTTTTTCTTAGGCTCATAGACGGAAGCCTTTCACAAACAAAAAAAAAATATGGTGCAAAAAACTAGGACTAACATGAGTTCTTTTATTAGAATATTTATGGAATATGGACCTAAGAAAGAAGATCTCCAAAAGTAAATGCAACTACACCAGGAAAAAGTGATTTAAAAAAAAAAAAAGCGAACTGATTACTTTTGCACTGCAATAGCCAGCAGCAGCTGCTTCTTCAGCCAACAAACGGCGATGATGTTCTGATCCAGGACTAGCATGAGCAGCTTCATTCGTCTCGGATAATGAACATGGAAGTAAGTGCAAGACAACATCTTCAGGGACACAAATCTTGACTATGCTACTTTGAAGCACCGTTAATAACAGGGATATAAACCCCAAAAGCATCAACTCTGCACATTCATCAATCAATTCAAAAAATGCAATTTGATCAAAGTTATACAGCCACACAAAACGCCTAAAAGAGTAACATTAATTGATAAGTACAAATCTAAACAACAGTGTAAAATAACAGTTAGGCAGATGTTGGAACCTTCTTTAACTTTCTGTAGGGCTTCATATAAAGGCTTCTGATTCTTCTTCTTCAGATACTGCATAGCAAAACAAAGGAAATTCAGTGGCAGGAGAGATGGCAACAGGAGAAAAAGAAAAAAAAGAGAAAGAGTGACCTTTCCAAGGAAATGGAGGAAGCGTTCAGCGGCAAGAGAGATGGCAACGATGACGGTGCAGACGGCGGCCACCACCCAAGTAGGTGTGAATTCCAATGTAGACCCTTCCCCTTCTCCACCACCACTCATTTCTCTTTACTTCACAAAGATGAATCGCCGATGCCAAAAATGGAACTAGTCTACTGTGGGGACTACTCGACTCTGACTTGACCACTTTTCCTTTTTCCACACTGAAGGAAGAGGATTACAGATTTAGTGGGCGTTTGGACATAAGAACACTAAAATTCTAAAAAGAAAATTCTTTCAAGTTTGTTTTTGGACATTAATATAATTTTTGATTTTTTTGAAGTTCACTTATTTCGAAAAAAAATAAAAATATTTTTTTAAAAAAAAAGTGAAAAAGAATCTTATATCCCAATGGGTTATTAAGTTATACTTATCATGTTAGGTTACTATCTTTAATTATTATAGCATATAGGGAAGACTTATTTGCACCGAATAATTCAAATTTTAAACTTACAAGTTAGAGCTAGTGATTTTATACTTCTCCATTTGTTTCAATTAATATAACATATTTTTCGTATTAGTTCATTCTAAAGAACTGTACATTTTTATATAAAAATTTTTAAATTTTACTTATTTCATCATTAATGCTAAAAACTAAGTTTTATCGTCACAAATATTATGACCTCATAAAAATTTTACTTTCTCCTGATGTAAATAATTTTGCATGTGAGTTTTGGCCTTTTTGTGGTTGCACTTCAAAGGGGCTATCGATGTCGGACAACGTTAGTCACAGCATGACAAAGACAAACGGTTGATGATCTGTCTTCTGTTGTTTTGTTTGTTTGGGTTTAACGTGTGAAAATTATTGAACCGACACAATTACCCGACTTCTATATATATATATTTAATTTAATGGTCTTAGCGCTGTAGCAATAAATATACGGCGCTGTCTGTAGACTGTAGAGGAAGATGAGGGCCTCTCCATTGCCGTTAATCACCTTTTCATTAATTAATCATAACGCATAACTGGTGGGCCCTCAATGTGGGGACGATTAGTCTTCATAATACCAGCACAGCAAAACATTTAAGTACACTGTTAAATGGACCATGTTCTAGCCATTTTTGTCCCTTATCTATTGGGTTAGGTTTATTTTGGCATAGCACTTTTGATCTAACTAACTAGAATAAAGTTAAAAACTAAGGGGCCGTTTGATAAAGTGTATAAGAATAATATTGAATATTCTATATTAATAATGCTGGTATTAATTATGTTTGCATTAGTTATGCTGTTATATTTTTTATCCATTGTTTAGTTTGATGCATTAAAACCTTGCACAATATCTAAAAGAATTGTTTGTTTAAAAAAAATACCCTCATAATCAGTCCATCACTTTATCTTTTTAAAAGAAAAGGAATGTTTTTATATGAAAAAGTTTTTTTTGAAATTATTTTTTCTACCTATATTGTAGTATAGAACTGAATATTTACTTATAAAAAAGAAAATATGCAAATTAATTATTTATTCATTTACTGGGATTATAATTTTATATCTCCCTTTCTTGGATTATTTCAAACTTGCATTAATATAATAGTATATTTTAATCAAGCATCAATTTGAAGGACAATTTTATCTTTAACTTAGCTAATGCATGCATTATAACCCAATGCATTGTTAATACCATGGTTTCTTATGCATTGGTTATGCGTAGGTGTAGACAATAAATTTGCATCGAGAAAATTAAAATCAAGACCGAAAATATTGCAACAATCGTAGTATTTTATTTCGAATATTTGAGTGTTACAATCTCTATGGATCCTCTGATTCTTCTTTTCAATTGCAAATAAATTCAAAGGCCTTTGAGCTTGATCTTGAATTTATAGTTATCACCACGAACGATGATCTTGTTCTTGAGCTTGAGCTTGATTGCTTGGACTTGAACTTGATCGCTTGAAGCTTGAAACTTGTGGAAGAATTTGCAGCGTTTGATCCATGAGCTCTTTCTTGCTTCTTGTTATAACTTCTGGTGTCTTTTCTGAGTTATGAAAACCCCTATTTATAGTTGTGGAAGGGAAGAGTTATGATAAGAACAAACTCTTTCCGACCAATCAAATTGAAGTGTGACATGACCGCATTTGATTGGCCAAAACATGTCACTTGCACCCGTGGCACGATTTCATTGGCCTTTTAGTGTGACTTGGCATGCCTTGTCATTTTGACACGTGGCATGATCCTATTGGCTCTTCCGTTTGACTTGGTGCGCCACGTCATTTGACACGTGGCACCAAACTGGGCCTCTAGGAAGATGACATCTTGGGCTTAATGAAGTGGGCTCGTCACTTTAGCCCAATTAAATGGGCTAGCCCAATGGATTAAGACTCATTTATTTAATCCATATATATTGGACCTATATAATTAATTCATTTATATATTAGCTCGTAACATTTATTTGGACTAATATATCTTGAATTTAAAATATAGTCCAAATTATTTTATGAATTTAATTTATGTAAAATTTATATGTCTACAAATGCCCCCTACTTCAAGATTTGTTGAGGTATAAATTTGTCGAAATACGCAGACAGGACTTGAAGTATACATCCTCCAATGCTCCTATTAGAGCTTATACATTTGCAAGGTTAAATAAACCTCTCAATGCTGTCAGACTTCAAGGATAACATGCTCACGTGAAATAGAAAAGCAATTGACGCCATAACTAATAGCAAATATTGCCAAAGTTACAGTGAATTAGATTTTTCCAATGTTTCCACGTAAGCCTAGCAAATGTAAGAATCTTTAAACATGTACATCATACAGTTGTGGAGACATATTAGTAATATATTGCTTGTCTCAAATTCCAGTAGTATATACATGTGAATTAGCTGTAACGACCAAAGTGCCTGACTCTTTACATATCAACCACATGTAGGTAAGGAAACTTTCGCCGTCTTTGGCTTTTCTAATCGAATTAGGAATAGGACACCTAGTCCTTCTTCGATACTGATAGTCAGCGATCTCACATCGGTACTAATTCTTCAATACCCATCTTCGGAAGCTGTATAAATATATGCACGCCCTTCATTCAATCGGCATCAACAACATCTGCGAGCTACGTTTAGCTTAAATTTGACGATTCAGAAGCATTGACACGAAGGTAATTTCCTTTTCTTTTTTTGTGCTTTTCTTCTTTTGTCATTTTTTTTGTAGGTCAAGCGAAAAAGATATGTTCTTGTTCAAAGAGATGATCCATGCATGAAGAAGACAATCTTGGGGTGTGAGGGGATGAGTACTCATCCTTGCCCGACTATCGGAGAGATTACTCTCAATGTGGCTCGACTATCGGAGAGGCTAACTTAAGGTGCAAAGGGACTCATATGTCCACCTTAAGTTTGGAAGACTTATATGTCCACAGAATGTGGCTTGACTATCGGAGAGATTACTCTCAAAACGGCCCGACTATCGGAGAGATTACTTTCGATGTGGCCTGACTATCGAAGAGATTACTCTCAATGCGGCTCGACTATCGACGACGCCAACTTAAGGTGCAAACGGACTTATATGTCCACCTTAAGATTGGAAGACTTATATGCCACAGAATGTGGCTTGACTATCGGAGATATTACTCTCAAAACGGCCCAACTATCGGAGAGATTACTCTCAATGTGGCTCGACTATCGGCGAGGCCAACTTAAGGTGCAAACGGACTTATATGTCCACCTTAAGATTGGAAGACTTATATGCCACAGAATGTGGCTTGACTATCGGAGATATTACTCTCAAAACGGCCCAACTATCGGAGAGATTACTCTCAATGTGGCCTGACTATCGGAGAGATTACTCTCAATGTGGCTCGACTATCGGTGAGGCCAACTTAAGGTGCAAATGGACTTATATGTCCACCTTAAGATTGGAAAGTTATAAAGCTTCAACTCGAAGACGGCCTCGATTTGAACACTTGGAAAACTTTGAAGATTTGGCGGACTTTGCAGACTTCAACTCGAACATTCGGAGGGCTTAAACAATTCAATTTTAAGATCGGCAAATTTTAAGACTTCAACTTGAAGACCGACGGACCAAAAGTATCGCACTTTATCAAACTTATGATATTAAAGATGTTCAAAAGCAAATCTAAAGGACTAAAATCGACTTACCTCAATAGATAAGGGATAGTTTTGGCTAAATATTTTCAAACGGACATATATAGTTACGTGCCATGAAAGAAAAAAATTACGCGCGAAAGTTATATTAACATCAATTTATATTAGTTAAGTAAAATTAAAATAAAAATATGTTGATTAATGAAAATTAAAAATGATAAAATTATATACCTATTGGTTGGTCACTTGGTGTAAATAATGGGTATGAAACTTTTCCCCTTCAAAATAGATGGATTTGATCAAATTTGATACCAATCTATAGGGAACATTGATGTTTTCATTTTCGAGTAAATTGCAGTTTATCCTCTAAACCTTATGAATTGTAACCTCAAATCTTTGTTATCTACCTTTTAAGATTTTTATAGACTCCTAAGAAATATATTTAATATCCTTAATCACTAGAGTGTTTGCCTAATGTCACGATCCGAAATTTCCATCCTCGGGATCGTGATGGCGCCTAACATTTCACTTGCTAGGCAAGCCAATGTTAGAAATAGTTTTTAGCAACTTTTAACAATTCAAAATTAAATAATAACACAAAAACTGAATAAACCGAAATATAGTGAGAAGAACCATAATAACAACAATATCTTGATACAATCCCAGAACTGGTGTCACAAGTACAGAGCGACTTGAGTACTATAAATAACAGTCTGATTGAAAGTATAACAGTCTGAAATACAGTAAACAGCTAGAGAGATATGGAAGGGGACTTCAAGGTTGTGGACAGCGTGCAGTTGTACCTCAAGTGTCCGTCAAGCAATCAATCCGAGCAATCTATTGACCGCCGCTAAGACCGACTCCAAAATGTGCACAAGAAGTGCAAAGTATAGTATGAGTACAGCCGACCCCATGTATTCTGTAAGTGCCGAGCCTAACCTCAATGAAGTAGTGACGAGGTTAAATCGGGTCACTTATATAACCTGTATGCAGTATAATAATAATAATAATAACAATAGGAAAGAAACACATGAAATAACGACAGAGCAGTTAACTGACGAAAGCAAACTCAATCCTCAAAATCAGTAAAACCAGAAATATCAGTCATCAGAATCTCATATGAAAATACTGAAAGTTAACACAATACAACAATGAGTACAACACACACAATCCGTTGCGGTGTGCAACCC